TTGTTTGGTGTGCCTCAACATCTTGAGTGTTGAGTGCTAGTACTTATATCACCACACTTACCAATCAACTAGATCTTAACAAGTCTGCCAAGACTGTTTAATAGGAGAACCCTCTTCTGCATAAATGGTACTGGGACTAGATGTTCAAATGCAAATGACTCAAGTTAAATCTGTACCTCACTGTGTGTTTCATTACTCAGAATAGAATTAAACCCTGAGCTGGGTTCGGTGGATGGGTGCTTGCCTAGTACACCTGAGGCCCTGAGTCCAATCTTCAGTGTGGAAGAAAACAAAAAAGGAAAACTCAAAACTGGATAGAGGAGCTAAGACTCTCAGAAGAAAATAGGGGTAAACCCTCATGGCCTTGGATCTGGTAATGGGTTTTTCTTTACGTTTGTTTGCTCGTTTGTTCCAGTCTTACATTGTAACCCTAGCTGACCTAGAACTCAATATGTAGATCTGACCTACACTGACCTCAAACTCCCAAAGATCCATCTGCCTCTGTCCCCTGTGTGCTGAAATTAAAGGTGTGAGCCTCCACAACACTGGTAACAGCTTCTGATTCATGATGCCCAAAACACTAAGTAAGAAAGAAAGACAGACAGACCAGAAAGAAAGAAAGAAAGAGAGAGAGAGAGAGAGAGAGAGAGAGAGAGAGAGAGAGAGAGAGAGGGGGAGAGAGAAAAAGAGGGAGGGAGGGAGGGAGGGAGGGAATCACACTCCATCACACTCCAGATTGACCTCTGCCCTCCTATACACACACACACACACACACACACAGAGAGAGAGAGAGAGAGAGAGAGAGGTACATGTACACACAAAGAGAGAAAAAGGATAAATTTAGATGTCATTCAAATTTTAAAAACTGTTCTACACCACAAGACTCTATCAAGAGAGAGAAAGAGAATAAATTAATAGCCAATAGGATGAGAGAAAACATTCGCAGGTCCCATGCCTGAAAAGGGTCTAGTAGCCTGACTACAGAAGGCCAACAGAACACAAAAACAGTCATTTAAACTGGACAAGAGAGACAGGTCTGGTGGTGCACACCCATCACCTGGCACTTTAAAAAGTTAGGTCAAGAGAGCTAAGAGTTTATGTCCAACCTATGCTATAGCATAAGAGTATAAATAAAATAAAGTGGGCAAACCTTGTTGCCAAACCTGCTGATCTTCCTTTGATCCCTCAGAGACCCACACAGAGGAAGAGGAGAACCAACTGCTACAAGTTGAACTCTGACCTCCACATGTGCACAACACACACAAGAAAATAAGTAGGTTTTTTTTAAGATAATTTTTTTAAAAATTGAGGTAAGTATAGTAGCCCACACCCCTAATCCTGATGCTTGGGAGGCAGAGACAGGCAGTTGGTAGCCCTCTAAGTTTGAATTCTAAGTTTGAATTCAGCCTGGTCTACACAGAAAGTTTGAGCCCAGCCTGGTCTACATAGCAAGTTCTAGGACAGCCAGGGCAACATAATGAAAGCCTATCTCAAACAGAAAATTTGAGAACATTTGTAGAAACTAGAACTTACACACAAATTTTCATAACTGCACATGCATATCCATATACATCCTATGTGGCATGTGCATGCAACGAGACACTCTTTATCCCCAAAACAAGAACATAAAGCGCTGACACATGCCACAACACAAAGCATCCTTAAGCACATTACGTCAGGTGAAATAAGCCAGACACAGAAGGTCAGATGCCGTATGATTGACTCCTCTCACACAAAGTGTCACAACAGACAGTTCATACAGGTGGGGAGCAGAGCCACATTACAGGGGCTGGGGAAGGCCAGGAGGAGCAACTGCTGGGCGGGGGTGGGGGGGGTTTGAGGCTTATTTTGAGAGCGATGAAAAATTCTGGACTGGGTCGGTAGTGCTGGATGCACACCCCTGGGAATGCACTCACTCAATGCCCCACATTACATGGTTTTAAGTGGTTAAAATAGTCAGGGCTCGCTGCTGTATTTTACCACAGTGAAGTTCACCAGTGAGTGTATACGAGATTCCCACAGCCTCACTGACATATGAGGACATTATGGTTACTCCAAGCCCACTTAAACCCTTCACTAACGTTCATCTCTCTCTGGGCCAAGGAGCAAGACTCACCAAGGTACAAAGAAAAGAAGACAAACCAATGAAGTTATTTGCTTTAACAAAATATTGAACGACAGCCAAGCAAAAAGACATGAACAGGGACGGGGACGCAGATGTGACTGAGAACCCTGCACGCCCCAGTCTCCTTCTCCCGACTCCCTTTCACCAGCAGGACCTCTCTTGGGCCCTGGGCCCTGGGCTCTCTTTCCCACAGTCTCTGTCCCCTAGCAGGAACAAGCCGCAACTAGTCTGACCACAGCCCCACCTCATGGCTGCGACCCTGGTTCTCTCAGGCTAGGATGGCCTTCTCCCTAAGCCCATGTCTTTGCTGTAGAGGCTGGCTGTGGTTAGGTGCTACCCAGCTGCTATCCAGAGAGCGAAACTTGGCCATCACTTTTGACCCAGGGCCTGTTCCTGACAGCCTGGCGTGGCCCTGAGGTAAGAGCAGTCCTAGCCTGCTTTATGGCTCACCTGGAAGGAAGTCTTAAAGCCAGACATCACATCCCTGCATCTGCCCCAGGGGTCTTCCACCCATTCACAGGCAGCCTCACTCCTGCGGCAGAGAATGACTCTCCTTTCAGCCTGTGCTCTGCTGGAACCCACCACCCTTCTCCTCTGCCTCTTCTTCCTGGCATCCAGCCCCCTAACCCCAGTCAGACCCAGGAGTTCAGACACACCTACAGGAAGTCTTCCTGCCTCCCACTCCTCTGCCAAGCCAGTCAGCCTCCTTCTCTGACTAGAACTCTCTAGGGGCTCCAGAAGAGATGACATTCCTAAGACCCCTATGGTCCACTTGCCTCTTATTGTCTCTGACAAAGAGCTGGAGGACAGGAGTAACTGAGTCCTCTGACAACTCGGTTACTGTGACCAGCAGGCCTTGGCAAAGTGCTCTCGGGGCTGTCTGCATTAAGACTCATAGGCAAGGGGCTGGAGAGATGGCTCGGTAGTTAAGAGCACTGACTGCTCTTCTAGAGGACCCAAGTTTAAGTCCCAACACCCACATGGTGACTCACAACTGTCTGTAACTCCAGCTCCAGGGGATCTGACACTCTCACAGACATGCAGGCAAAACACCAATGCATACACTTTTTAAAATACATAAATAAATCTTTTTTTTTAAAGGCTCAAAGACAGGGGAAATCACAAGATGGGAAAATAAATAGAAGCTTCATGAGTTAGGAGGTTTGTTGGAGGCCGTGCAGCCGTGCCATGGGCAAACACGGAGAACGCTAACCCAGGTTTCTCCCGACTGCTCACTGAGCCAACACTCGTTCAAGGGAGCTCAGTTAAGGGGCCATGCTGAGGCTCTCTCCACTGAGCGTGGGCACAGCATGGAGGGGTGACTTCCACACTCCTTTTCAAGTGGCTAAAGCTCACAGCTGTGAACAGAGGGAGCAATCCTGGGAAAGGCTGGCTTGTGAGGGTGCTGACTCCACTTCCGCTCACGGGGAATACACATCACAAATACACATGTCTTCTCTCCATCCCACACTCAGGCTGTGCCAAACTCATCACAGTCTGGCTCCCCCTGACCTCAGCCCTCCCCCAGGCAGTGCCCCACGTGCCCACAAGCCAAACCTTGGCTTCTCCTCCTCTCCCTCAGCCACTCCAGATGCCATCAGCCTCGAGGCTGTACCCACAGGTCGTCCATCACTCAAGTTTTAAGAGTAGCGATAGACAGCACTACTGTGTGGAGTTCCTATCATGAGTATGTGGAAGTATAGCTCACAGCAAAACCCTTATAGTTCACAGCCACTCCCAGTCCCTACCAAGTCACTGGAGGAAATCATCACTGCCCCAAGAAGATGCCGACCCTGAGACTCAGAGAGGGGCAGTGACTTGCCCAGGCTCACACAGCTACCCCATGAAGGCAAGAGTGGACGTGAAGCTTGTCTATCCCAGATTTGTCTTAGCACCCCATAGCTCCTGGAGCTTTCTGGTTTACTTAGAGCCAGACACACTGACCACTGCCACTGAGTCACTGAAACGTACCCACGTCCCAGGAGGGCTCTGACCTGCCCTGAGTGAGTGATGGCCAGAGAGCAGTGGGATGGGGCAGATGGTGTGGGAGGACACGGGGTGAAGGAGGAGGTCTAAGCATACAGCATGCACACTCTAACAGCAGAACTTACCACCTGAGGCAGGGAGGGCAGGAGAGCCCAGAGCCGTAGCCAACAGAGGAAGGAAGAAGGAATTAGTGAGCATGATAAGCCTGGAGGCAGCCTGGGGCCTGGACACCCACACATCCTTCCACTCACTGGCCTGACAGGACCGGAGGGGTGAGGAGGAGGCCCCCTAGGAGTAACCTGGCGTTTGGCAGCGACCGGTTGTCTGGAGCATGGCATCCCAGGAAGGCCACATCTGGGCTTTTAAAGGCGATATGGAAGAGCATGTAGCCTTTGGTGGAACAAGGCACAGACTACCACAGATCAGATGACCCTGCCCTGAGGGTGCATCTATTTGCCACTTCTTAAATTTCCAGTGCCTCAGCTGGGAGGTGGTGGTGCATGCCTTGATTCCCAGCACTTTCGAGGCAGAGCCAGACAGATCTCTGAATTCGGGGTCAGCCTGGTCTACAGAGCAAGTTCCAGTACAGCCAGGGCTACACAGAAAAACCATGTCTCAAAAATCAAAACAAAGAATTCTATGTGCCTCAACTGATCTCACTGTTCGTCTTAGGAGCCAGAACCCCAGCAGAGCTAGTGGAAAAAAACAGGACAGGATCAAATATAGAAAAAGCAAGGTGTCCACCTCCCAGGTCTGCTAAGGGAAAAAAAAAAAAAAAAAAAACTGGCACTGATCAGGAGTTTCAGCAAGAGAGCTGGCTACAGGGTTGGCCCTCAATGCCCAGGAGCCAGTGAGAGCATATGTCCCCTTGAAAGACCCCCGAACTCACATGTCCATGCAGGTCTGTGTTGAGCAGCATCAGGGCGCAGGTGAGCGTGTGGATCCCATCTAAATAGAATATGAAAGTATCCTCATTGTGAGAACCCACTCATTGCCACCCGGAGCCTCCCACCTGCCTCCCCATACAGCCAGGCCAGAAGCCATATAGACAAAGAAAGGTGGACATCTGCTCCTGAGCACTTCAGGGCCAGGCTTGGGTGATGCTCTAACCCAGATGTCTGCCTCTTGCAGACAAATTCACCTTGAACCTTAGACCGAGGAAAGGCTCTGGTCTTCAAGCTATGTCCCTACAGTAGCAATAAGGGATTCAGTCCATCAATTCCTAAGGTCCAGGTCCATCCATATGGCCATATCTCTGCCTCTGCAAGAGACCTGCGAGGAATATCCCCTCCCTGACAAAAAGTCTGGCCTGCGTCTAGATACAGGCATTGAGAATGGAATGACCATGAGCAAGACGTCTGGGCTCTCTTGTCCAGGAGGCCATCCCACAATCCCTGGGCATTTTATTTTTTTGGTTTTTGAGGCAGTGTCTCTCTCTGTAGCTAAGGCTGACCTCTAGATTTAAATCATCCTTCTGCCTTCATCCCACCAACCCCTGGAGTTTCAGGTATGAGGGTGCTATGGTGACACCTAATTGTATTCATTCCATCTTAATGGAGAACCTACAATTTGCCAGAGTATATGGCCCACCTGGGTCTGCCTGCTAGCAAGACAAATGTGGCAGCTGGGCCAGGGTAGGAGAAGACTACGTCTCAGCTAGTTGAGTCTCATGGGAGGTGATCAGGGAACACCGTACCTTCTGATGTGCTGTCGTCTGGGTTACACTGGCAGTACCGGCGAGAAAAGTGGGTAAGGACTCGTTCTCGTTCCTGTGTCTCCCCCATCAGTGGGAAGGCCTTCAGGAAGGTTCTAGAATGTAATCCAAGGTTGCTGAGTAAATCACAGAGTCCCTAATACAGTCTTCTGACTGAAATAGAAGACTTATTTCCCACACACAAACATATACATGAGTCTAGTTCCTGTACTAGGGTCTAAACACCCTCTGCAGGCCCAGGCAGAACCTTGGCCCTCCAAGATAGCCTCTGGAGTCTAAGACCTCAGGCAGGGATATGATGTTCACACCCAGTGCCTTCTGTGGGTCTCCAGGTTCTAAACAGCCATGCTTCACTCTAGTGACCTAACACATAAGGCCCTCAGCACAGCACCCACGATGATGATCCAGACCCACTGAACACTATCTTTCTGATCGACCTCATTTTGATGCAATCCAAAGGCTCAGCTCAAGATAGAGCTGCTTGGAGGAGAGCAATATAGATCCCCTACCAGTGCAGCACTACACTGCCTTAAGCCACAGGTGAAGCAACCAGACCCCAGTGCAGCACTACACTGCCTTAAGCCACAGGTGAAGCAACCAGGCCCCGTGATCTCAGGATGGAGAGAACAGGACAGAAGCAGGCTGACATGTGACAGCCACCTTTTACCCAGGTGTATCACAGACAAAACCTATGGACAAGAGGCAGTACGCAAGATCCTTCTGTGGGGCAAGAGAACACATCAGAGCCTTGAGGGACTGTAGGCACATGGCCACAGTTGCCAGACTCTGAAGATGCAAAGGTTTTGGAGCTGTGAATCCTAGAGGTGGAGGGATTTTTTTTTTTTTTTGAGGAGGGAGATGAGGACAGTTTACTGCAAGGAGGCAGTAAAGTGGGGATTCAGAACAGTTGCGGTGACATGGCCCCCATGCGAGGCCGAGGTCAGAGCCAACCCTGAGAGACGTCCCTCTTCACAGCTGCCTCTCCTCAGCCCAGCCCTGGCTGGGTTAGGACTGTGTCCCATGGCCCTTTCCAGTTGCCTTGTAAAGGACAAACTAAGAAAAACAATAGGTGCTGGGAAACCCAGAGGAAAAAACAGAAAACAGAAGCAGACACTGAGTCAAGGTTAGAGAGATGAGTTCAGATCCCCAAACCTGTAACTGGCAGGTGGGCACAGTGGCCGCCTGTGATCCCAGCAATCAGAAGGCAGGCATAGGGTGTTCCTGGAGCAAGCTGACTTGCCAGGCCAGGCATATTTGTGAGCCCTGGATTCATCTGAGCGACTCGACCTCAAACAATAGGGTGGAGAGCAACAAAGGAAGACTCCTGATATCAACCTCAGCCTCCACACATGCAAATATGTGCACATGCACAAACACACACATATACATGCACACAAGACACACAAAACAAACACACATGCACACACACACATGAAAACATGCTCGCACACATGCAAACATGCACACACACATATACATGCACACACAGGCAAACATGCACACAACATGCACCCACACAAACATGCAAACAAGTGTGTACACACATATACATGCACACACACATGCAAACATACACACATATGTACATGCACGCACAGGCACATAAACATATAGGCACACATGCAAACATGCACACAATACATGCACACACATCACACATACACACACATGCAAACACGCACATACACACACAGAGAAATACATCAAGAGTACACTAAAAAATATATATACACGATTCAAATGTGTTAGTGAAAAGATGGGGCATCCCACGGAGAACTGGAATCTATTTTAAAGTTTAAATGTGATGGAAATTCTAGAAATGTAAAATGTAACTGAGAATAAAAACTTAATGATGTTTCTTTGGGGGTATGTATGCATGTGTAGTATACATGCATGAGGGTATGTGTGCTTGAATTTGTGTAAGCACATGTCCATGCATGTGCGTGCATGTGCACACAGAGACCAGAGGTTGACATCGAGTGTCCTCCTCAATTGCTTTTTACTTTGTATAGTGAAGTGGAGTCTCTCATTTGAACCAAGAGAGCCAGCTTGCTTCGGGGTTACAGATACCATGCCCACCTAGCATTTACACAGATGCCGGGGGTCTGAACTGTGGTCCTCACACTTGCCGCTCTCTCAAGCCATCTCTCCAGTCCCTCAATAGTTTTTCTTGGCTTCGTTTATTTGCTACTGGACATGACAAAATGACAAGTACACTACAAGACAACAGAAAACATCTCAACCAAGACAGAGGAACCAAATAAAAACTGATTGCTAAAAAGTATTAAGAGACATCTGGGATCCAGCAAGTGGGGCTAGCATCTGTAGACATCACCCTTAGCTATGAGATACTGCCCTTCCCTCCTCAGGCCTGGCTGGGCATCTTTCTGATGACACTGTCTTCCATTCACCCATCCCTCCCATCCTGTTCCCAAGGCTCATGCCTGACCCTCCTGAGACCCAGACACTGAAATAACTGCAATAAAGTCCCCTTTACCATCAAAAGAGGTCAGATACACCCAGATGGTAGTGTCCATGCCTTTAATACCTGCACTCAAGAGGCAGAAACAGAAGGATGTCTGTGAGTTCGAGGCTAGCCTGGTCTACAGAGCAAGTTCTAGGACAGCCAGAGCTACACAGAGAAACCCTGCCTCAAAAAAACAAAACAAACAAACATTGGCCATGAGTATAAAGACCTATGGTGTCTGGCAACCAGGAAGTGCTCCATAAAGGCAAACCATTGGCCTCCTTCTCCGTCCAGGAGAGCTGTGACTATACCTGAATCCCTCATCACCCACCACATTAGCTGGCAATCACTGAGTTTCTGGACAACAGCTACCCATAGTGTCTCCCCACAGCTTGACCAGAGGGGTCAAGACTTGCAAAAGACTGTATAAAAAGTCAAAATAGACTTGCTAGAATATAGATATTGTAGTGTATATTGCAAAAATAGATAGCTAGAATGACAAGCCAGACGTGCTGCTCCAACACCTGTGGACACTGTCCAGCCCAGCCCCACTGACCTGAGAGCTCTGTCCAAAGTGAGGCCTGAGAAGTCGAAGAAACTGAGGTACTCCCCAGCAACCAGCCGGCTGAACTCATTGCTGCCAAGACAGTACAATGGGATGTCAGTCAGAGGCAGGCCCCAAGTCCCAGGACATCAGGTACTGGGGAAGTGGGCCCCAGAGTCCCCTTAACCACCACCCACATCTACCCAGACCCTGGGTTGCCTTCTTCTGTTCCCTCAGCTCAGAGAGATCATCCTTGGTCTGTGGTGTCAAGATATGATGTCTCAGCTAGCTCAGTCAGAGCCTGTTCAGGGAAGGGAGCAAGGTGGGCTGATGCAAGTGTTCCCAGCAAAGGAGATGACAAAATGTAAATCAAGCCACCAGGAGGGCAACAGAGGTGAGGCAGAAGCCCAGCCCCAGATCACAGTAAGGATCAGGGCATGGCTGCGGAGTTTAAAGCTAACGCCATACCTACAGAGTGGAGACTCGCAAAGAATGGGTCCAGAAAAGGGGGGGTTAAGATGAGAACATTCAGGATTCTGAGGTCACCAGAAAGAAAATGACTGAGAAGGTGCTGTCAGGATGAGGACAGAGCTGGCTGAATCCCTGTGACGGTAACCTTATAAGAGACAGCATGGTGTTTTGAGATCTGAGCCCTTGTGAGAATCAGGTGTAGGGAGCTTGGTGTGGCAATGTGTACCTGTCACTTCAGCACTGTGAGGTAGAAGGACTGAGAGCCTGAGACCAGCCTGCCTGTATGAGACCCTGTCTCAAACATAAGTAAACGTTTTAAACGTACAGATGGGCTGAGGATGTAGCTCAGAGTGTTTGCCTACCAAGCACAAAGTCCTGGATTCAATCCCCAGCATGGTAGTATCCGAGTTCAAGGTCATATTGAGCTTGAGGGCAGACTGTGTTGAATCGATGACTCTGTGGGTAAGAGCACTCACTGCTCTCCCAGAGGCTTGAGTTTGGTTCCCAGAACCTATGTTAGGTATCTCACAACTGCCTGCAATCCAGCTACTCTCTGTCGCCCTCTTCTGGCTTCTTCGGGCATCTGCACATATATTGTCTAGAATCACACAACACACACATCCATACACAGAAATATAAATATTTTCTTCTAATGTGAAAGCCCAGGGCAGAGCTCTGAAAGCAGCCCCATTAAGGATCTGGACCAAGGATGGAGCTAGTGAACAGGACCTGTGACAGCAGAGGGCAGGTCTGTGCCCTCCTGGAAGGATAGGTTTTATGAAGCTTTAAAAAAATGATGATAACAACAATAATGATAAGCCTCACAGTTTCCTTCCCGTTGGTAGGACCACGGGAACTAGAAGGATATGTAACCACATACACATCCAACATGTGGAGAATGCTTTGGGGAAAGTGGCTGTTTCTTCGATATATGGCACTTTAAAAGAGAGGGTCCCTGAGAAGATGGTCTCAGGGTTTAAATGCTTGCATAGAGATCTGAGTTTTGATCCCTAACACCTACATAAAAAGCCAGGTGTGGTGGTGTAGACATGCAGTCTCATCACTGAGAAGGCAGAGACAGGAGGACCGCAGCAGCTTGCTGGCCAGGCAGCCTAGCTAGACAGTGAGCTCCAGATTCCGTGGGAGAGCCTGATTCAAGACGTAGTGATAGAGTAAGACGAGCAAGATTAACCTCTGGCTTCCACATGTGTATGCACACATGCATGCAGATGTACACGCGTGCACCACACAGATGCACGCATGCATGCAGAAGTACACACATGCACCACACCGAGAGTGACTAGGGAGACCAGGAGGACCAAGGGGAAATGAAAGAGAGAGGTTGTCTATTGAATGGCACTTATGAAACAGAGGGCCAGGGACATCGTGTGAAGAGTATTCCAGACCTGATCGCAACACTTGTTTTCTTCTTTTTCTTTTTGTACCTTCCTCCTCTTCTTCTCCCTCCTCCTCCTTCTCTTCCTCCTCCTTCTTTTCTTCTTCCTCCTCCTCTTCATCCTCTTCCTCCTCTTCTGCTTTCTCCTTCTTCCTTCTTTCTTCTTCTTCTTCTTCTTCTTCTTCTTCTTCTTCTTCTTCTTCTTCTTCTCCTTCTCCTTCTCCTTCTCCTTCTTCTCCTCCTCCTCCTCCTCCTCTTCCTTCTCCTCCTTCTCCTCTTCCTCCTCCTCCTCCTCCTCCTTCTTCTCCTTCTCCTTCTCCTCTCCCTCCTCTTCCTCCTCCTCCTCTTTCTTCTTTGTCTTCTTCTTCTATTGGCAGAGGTATGGAGGATTGACCCCAGAACCTCACACACATAAGGCAAGTGCACTACACTGAGCTACAGCCAGGTCCTATTTTTATTTTATATATCTCTGAGTCTAAGTTTCCCAGAGTATTCTTGAACTCACTGTAGACCAGGCAAGCCTTGAGCTCGTGACCCTTTTGCCTCAGGCTCCCAGTAGCTGGGATAGCATGTCTGCAATATCAGGCCTGACCAAATCAATGTTTTATAGAGACTCAGAGAAAGGAAAAAACACCAAATGAGAGAGGTAATGAGGAATTTTTGTTAATATGGTTAAATGTTAAAATGGAACTACATAAAAATTCTTACCAGCTAGAGATAGGCTAAAGCACTATGAGTTAAATAATAACGTGTCTGAATATATTTCCAACTAATAGGGGGAGAAGCTGAGGTGTGGTGGGAGAGCATCGAAGCTAAGGTCTAGATGTGGTGATGTACACCTTTAAAGCCAGCATCTGGAAAGTAACCAGCTTGGGCTGCATAGTGATACCTCAGAACACCTGGAAGCTGCATAATGAGTATGAAAAGTTTGATGTTTATCTGGTGTGTGTGTGTGTACGTGTGCGTGTATGTGTGTGTGTAAGGTTCATAACGAAAACTTGAAATAGAAAGGAGTGGCCAGTATGTCAGTGCTACTGAAGAAAGCATGTGTAGAGAAGTTTCTAAAGGAGAAACAGTAAAATAAGAACCCATCTAGAGGAAATAAGAAAAGAAAGGACGGGTACACAAGCGACCCAGGGCAGAAAACCTGAGAGCGGGAAAGAGAAATTGGGAATTTCCTCCCCACGGCCCCAACACTCCGATTTTGGGATGGGAGGGATGAGCTACAGCAATTACTGGAAGAGCCTGCAGAGGGCACCATGGAAACATGGCAAGAACCCATCCTCCTAAGGTCGGGAGGCTGTTTTCAAGTTCCACCTACCCAGAGATGTTCAGCTTGCCGGAGGAGTCTATGGGTTGTGATTTTTAGGAAGGGCTCCTGGGAACCCACTGTCCAAGATACAAGGTCGGGTCAAAAGGTGTAGGAAGGTCTCCTAGACCTAAAGCCCTCATCTCAGCCTGACCCAGGGCTGATCTGTCTCCCTTAGCTTTGTGAGCGGCATGGGAAACTGGCCGGCTCTGCCCACCTCTAAGCCTTCCTGGGACAGTGGAGTCCCTGTGAACAGAAGGGCCAATGTGGGGGCCACACTATGCTCAAACATACTCAGAATATGTCATCCTCATCTCTCACATACACACTCCAGGTCACCAGCGCTCACCAGAACTGCTACATGGCTAGTGTCCTTTGCATGCAATCTGAAGGTTATGCCTGTGCTTTCAGGTGTGCGGTCCTTTCAGCTGGTCACAATAGACAGGTGTGATGAAGCTAGACACATTTTTTGACCTCCAGGATCCAGACATTTACCCCAAATCCCTCACAGGTCCTCCTCTCCACGTAGCCCCACTGGGTGGAACTCCAGTTCAGTTGTGTTGTTCCGTCCTCTCTACTGTCATTCATATATAGCCACATCCCCCATCCTGCTCCAGCCCTGAGGGGCCACCTGACAGCAACCACCTTCGCCCAAGTAGCCCAGAAAGGAAACAGATTTAGGGCAAGGTCAAGAATGAGGACAGTGACAGGAAGTGTCCTTGAAGGCCTGGTGGGAGCTCCTGGCACCAGTCACCCATGAAAGAAGTCACTGACACCCCTTTCCTGCTGAGGAAGGCATAGATAGGATCTTCTTTGCCTGGGACAGAAGCTGGGGAGACGCACTCACTTTTTGCCCAACTGCCGGGCTACATCACAGCGCTGGAAGCCTTCGAGGTGGTAGAGGCGTCGGGCCAGTCTGCGAGCGGCTTCGCTGACCCCCTGGCACCCATTGGCCAGTGGATCTGTGCCACCAGGCTCCAGCCCCTCAGAGCTGCTCAGCTCTGAGTCCGAGTCTGACAGACCATCCTTAAGGCTTGTGTCACTGCAAATGAAAAAGAGGGAGTCAAACACCCTGTGTGTGGCTAGAAGAGACCCCAGGTCTCCGAAAATCCATTATGAGCCCAGAGCAGGGAAACAGGCTCCACTGCAGGGGAGTGTCGAGCCAGACCTCCAGAAAGTGGCTCAGATGGAATCAGGCATGGCCGTGCATAGCCCAGAAATATGGCCCACTTTGAGCTAGTAAGATGGAACAGCTAACTGGAAAATCTGCAGAGTATAGACAGGATGGCCCTGGGGCGGGGGGCTTGTGGATCCTGGACACTGTCATCCAGAAAGCTTTGCCTGTTCTGCCTCTCAGTTTCCTTACTCACTCATGGCTCCCCAGATCCCAGCCCAGCCCCTCCCCCACTCCACTCCCGCCTTACCTGGCAGAGTTCAGCAGCTTGTCCGTGTCCTCATCGTCCTCATCGTCCCCCCCTGAGCCCCCAGGCCCATCTTCATGGAACCCATTGGGCACTGATGTGACAGACAGATGGCTCAAGACATTCTCTGAGCGGCTGCTAGAGATGGACCGCCGCAGGGGACTGCCCAGCTCCCCATCACCACCACCAGTTGCCCCCAGATCCCCTTCAGGCCCTATGTCCCCAATGCCCAGCCCAGCCCCAGGCTCAGGGCTGTCTCGAGCCCGCTGCTGGATGAGAGGTGTAAGGGGGGCCTCAAAGCTGACACAGCTGTCACTCTCATCAGTGAGACTCAGCACGTCTAATGAGTCCAGGCTGCTATACTGGGTGCCCCTCAGTAGCTCCGACTCCAGAATCTTCTCAAAAGTGGCACTGAAGCCATCCCGCACATCTGGTTCGCCAGGACAATCCAGCCTATAGAATGCAAGGGCATAGTCAGCATCCTACTTAGATGTCCCCAACACTAAGGCTAGCTACCACACCACCAGTCTCTAGCTAGGAGCTGAACACACATACATATGCCCCATGAAAACTCATATACTCCTGTGCATGCACTAATTAAATATATTGGCTGGACACATACAGATAAACACACATGCACACACACACCATGCATGAGCCTCCTGCATTCTCACATACTTCCTGTGCAAATTCCAATAAGCAGATTAGGCACATATACATGCACACACACGTATGCCCCCATACATATTCACACACCCCTGTGCATATATCAATGTAAAGGCAGGACACACACACACGTATCCCCATACATATTCACACACCCCTCTGTACTTGCCCATTCAGGAGAGGCAGGCCTACAGCTACCCTCTTGAAGACTTCTGTATATGTTCTTCCCACCCTCCCTGGCCTTTAGACACCTCCCTACCCAACCCCTTCTCCTTGACCCGTGGTATCCATGACTGATCTGTCTACCTTCTGCTGAGAAACAGACTGTAACTCCGCTGAGTAGGATAGACACATAGTTCCTGATACAACTTACGAAATCTCAGGAAACTTTCCTGGGAAGGGCAAGAACACAAATCTTGCCCACTTGGGGCCAAATTGGGGGAAATGGGCGAGATAACCCACCTGTCACATCTAGATATTTTGAATGGACTCAACGCTCTCATGTTAACTGGTAGAGATGGACTCCAGTCCATCATAGAGACTGCTCATTGTGGTTTGTGGGGGCCAAGGGCTGGGGGTACAGCAAGCCTACTTGCTGAATTCCCCTGTAGGGCTCTGGTGTTAACACTCAGAAGCTGAAAATGGGGACAGGAAACCTCAGACTTTTAGAGAGACTAAGGGGCTGGCCCCAGGTTATATTATCAAAGAGCTAGAAATATGTGAATCCCTGTCCCAGGATACCCACTCACCCCAGCTGAGGGTCCTCGGCATCTGGACAAGGACTCCTAGGGGCATCCTCCTCCTCTGCTGGTCCACTACTCCAGGGCCTGGATTCTATAGAATCTTCCAGAATGTTACCATCTTGTCCCAAAGCCAAGCCATTGGTCAAAGAGAGGCTAAGGCCAGACAGGGCAACATCTGGGTCTCTCGTAGGCTCCATGGTGCCCACTAAGGTGCCCGTCTTCCCACTTTCTGGACCGCTAATGTGGCTGCTCAGGCCTTCACTGGCTGCTGTTCCATTCTGGACCCCAGGCTTTTCTTCGGGCTCCAGGCTGTGGTCTTGGGTAGCACCCCCTTCCTTGTGCTGCTCACATGGGAGCTTTTCTTCATCCATGGCAGTCACTGTTTCCACCCGTCCCTGCCAGCCCCTAGGGCTGCTTGACAGACGAGGGAGAGAGAAAGACAGAGTCAGTCGGACAGAGCAAGAGTCAAAAGGCCCAAAGTCCTATGAAACCAGTACAGGTGCAGCTTGTCAGGGGCAGGGGAATGGCCGTGATTATATCTTTAGTAACATTCAGTTGGAGAACGGGCTCAGGCTGTGATACTCTCACTTCAGCCCCTGTCAGCTGTCCTCTAGCTCCTGGTTTGGCCCTTGTACCCTAGTTCCTGCCTTCCTTATTACTTCTTAGGTCTCTGTTCTATCCTTCAGAATTCACAAAAGTCCTTTGAGGAAGATCCAGGTAGTGAGGAACTGGGCAAGTGTCCAGCAGCTCTTGAAGGCTCCTCTGTATTCCTACTAGTAAATGGAGACAAAACCCAGGCTGGTCTTGGCTGGCCATGTACCTCTCCACACGTTCTCCGCCTGGTCTGCACAGGAGAGAGGAACCCGAATTTGTAACTAGCAGAGGGAACTGACCCAGGAGTTGCTTTTAAAGGGGTCTCTAAGAGAGAAATCAAGGAAGTTAACCTAAGTGCAGCTTGATTCCAGGGATGCCAGAGGAAAGCCTGGAGACAGCCATCAGCCACAGGGGGGCCCAGCGTGAGCCGCTGTCCAGGGTGCTGGGCGGGTGTGTTGCTGCACAAACTAAGGCTGCCCCTGCAACGCAAGTATCTGTCAATGCCATAAAGAAGAAGGGGTCCAGGGCTCCCTTCTTCATGAGGGCCCTCACAGAGGTCCACCCAGTCTCAAGGAAGAACTCAAGAAAGACCTCTAAGAAGCACGCTGGGGAAATAAAAGCAGGAGGAGTCACACTGGGCTCTGGCGAGTCTCCAGGCTTCCTGCCCAAATCATCCTGGCTAGGAAGGCAGAAGACAAGTGCAATGGGCTGTGGCCTTATTCATCCATTCTTTCCTCTCTGCCCCAGCCCCTTGTAGTCTAGGCTACCCTCCCTAGTGACCTCTGGCAAGGACACAAGCCAGCCCTGCCCCCCAATACCCTAGAACTGCAGAGAGACAGATGCCTGGGCTTTTCCTCTGTTTCTGAGTTGAGTTACTTCCTTGCTCCACTATGTGAGCTGAGGTGGCCTCCAACACCCTACTTCCTCATAGATATAGCTGGGTTCAGGAGAGGCTGGAGTAGGAAGAGGAGGAGGAGGAGGAGAGAGAGAGAGAGAGAGAGAGAGAGAGAGAGAGAGAGAGAGAGAGAGACAGCTCAGCTTTCTGGGATCCAGCAGAACAAGCTGGAGAGTGGAGATGAGGACATGAACCCCTGTACCTGCCAGGCATGCCCCAGGCCACCGACTTAGATACACAGGAAACACACTTAAATTCCAGGACGACTTTGCACCTATGTGAGCCCAGAAAGGAAAGTAGGTTCTGCTCTCTGGAGACTCCTGAACCTTTAACTAAAGCTACTATATACCTGTTAAAATCATTTAACCCTGTGTGTTCAAACACTGAGTAGAAGATGGCTGGAAAGAAAGATCTGTAGCCCAGCCCAGTCCATCATTACTACCTAGAATTTTGTTTATTGTTTGTTTGTTTTCTTTTTTGAGACAGGGTCTCTCTACATAGACTACCTAGAGTTCTAACAACCTCACTAAATTCAGATTTTATACACACACACACACACACACACACACACACAGAGAGAGAGAGAGAGAGAGAGAGAGAGAGAGAGAGAGAGAGAGAGCCCACAGATTTAAAACATCTTCAAGCTAAGGTCTAAGCTAGCAGGCCCTGATGCTGGGACACCAGGAACCCTCAGGGCTTAGCACTGAGTACGGGAGCCTTTCTGGTCTGCCCTACATCCCTGCTGCTGCCGTTACTATTTCTAATGGTTCCCTCAGTGGCACACCCAAAAGAAGGCAGGAGGTCATGTCCTCAACTGAAACCCCAAGGGGAATCTAGAAAGGAAGAGAGGGAGTGGGGACTTGCAGCCTGCTGCCTGAATTCTAATCCTCCAGCTACCTCACTACCACAGGCCAATAGGGACTCGGACCCACAGAACTTGAGCCCCCTATCCTGCCAGGATATCTCAAGCTCCTGTGCCCAAGCACAGAAGTGGAACCTGGCAGGGAGGCTCTGCCTGATCTTCCTGAAGCTACTTAAGTGTATAAGTGGCTCTATCTAAAAACCAAAGCTAAGACTATTGACAAATCAAGGGTTTCTTGGGTGACCCTTCTGGCATTCTGTAACTTCTAGAAGCTGGTTCAGGCTATGCTAGACCTACCTGCCCTGCTATGTCCCCCTTAAGTGTCAAGCAGGACTGAGTTTCTGCCAGTACCGGGCACTGGCCAGTGTCTTCAGTTCCCGGGGCTAGACAGACAAGGGGCAGCATTGAGCTCTACTCTAGGCAAGGGGCCCAGAGTCCTTGCCTGGGCTGAGGGCCAGTAGAGGCCAGAGTAGTTGAGCCTTGGGAGGGCTGCACAAAGGGGATATTTCAAGGCAAAAGGTGTGAAACAGTGTTCCAGGTCCTCACCCATATGGCCCTCCACATGATGTGACCAGAGACTCACTCTCACCTCCCTGGCCTATGTGAATCCATCTGTGAAATAAAGTATTCCCTCCGCTTCCCTCTCCCAGAGCGGGTGAGTAACATTAATATCACAGATGGTAAGGGGATGGCTGTCCTCAGAACAGCAAACTCTCTAGGGCAAGCATTAGAGGAACTCAAATCTCCAGCCCAGGGGAGACTGAGGCACACAGCTGGGAAAGGCTTTGTCTGAAATCCCACTGCATGGTCAGGGGCAGACCCCATCTGCAGCTGGAAACACTAAAGGTGCAGGCTGAAGCCTCCCATGAGATCAAGGCCCCAAAACCTCAACCAAGAGAGTCAGTCCAAAGCAGTGGCTGTTGCTGCCTCCAGTCCTTCTGGCCAGAGCAGAGAGGACCTGGGCCACTGAGCATCTGTCTCAAGGAGACAAAGGACAGGCTGGCAGCATTCACGATCCCCTGTGGCTGGCCCCCGCCTGATCCAAGCCCCTTTCCAGGAGCCTCTCACTATCTACAGCCCTTGGGATGCCCTTGGGCTCTCAGTGGCCTCCATTCAGTACTAGATGAGATGGGCACCACAATAACAGTAAAGACCACTAGGCCAGGAATGACTGGTGAGCCACACACTTTCTGGGTGTCAATGGCTACTCAGATAACCCTGTCCCCTTCTCTACTTCCCCCACAGCAGCCAGAGGGCACTGCAAAAACAAACCACACTGTGTGTCTCCCTCCTTCCTAATCCTCCAGCAATATCCATCTCCCTAAAATGAAAATCCAGTCTCTCTAGCATGGCCTAAAAAGGCCCCGCCTGAGCTCACTCTGCTGTCTCCTCCCTGCCACACTGGCCTCTTTCTGCTCCCCAAGCTCATTCCCACCTCAGGGCCTTTGCACCAGCTGTACCCTTGGCCTAGAATGTTGTTTCCCTGGATCATTCTGTGATTGCCTTTTCTTCTGTTCAAGGCTGAACCCCAAAGCTGCCTCCCCATCCCCAATAGAAGCCCTGCCTCTGGTCACACCCCTCTGAGCTTTTAGAGTGTCAAGGAAAACAGAAACTCTTCTTCTTAATTAATTAATGTCAGGGTATATGTGTGAATATTCCTTGTATGTATACACATATGTGCAATTTACGTGCACGTGCATGCATGTATGTGTGGAGGTCAGAGGTCAACATGGCGTGTCTTCTCAATTGCTCTCCATCTTATTTTGTGAGAAGGGGTCTCTCACGGAACCTGAAGCTCACCAAGTTGGCTAGACTAGCTGACCAGTGAGCCCCAGGGATCTTCCTGTCTCTGCTTCCCAGCACTGGACCACCAGGGCCGTATCACTGCACCCAGCTTTTTATACCAATGCTGGGGAGCCAGGTGGGGTCCTCGGCCTCAATCATCAAGCACTTCCCTAGCAGCCATTTCTGAAACTTCCCAAACCCTCTGTCGATTTCCTGACCACCCTCCCTGACACGAGGATGTGTGTCCAGTGACCAGGGACTCACTCCAAGGAAGGGACATATCATGGACACATATCATGTCCAGAGCCTGTGCTATGCCGAGCATATAGAGGTGCTTTATAAATATTTGGTGGCTGGATAATTTGGATTATTACTGTCCCCAGTTTTGGCAGAGGCTAGGCAATATTCAGGAACATGCTCGGAGCAAGGCTACTGCAGAGATGGACAAATCAATGATCCTTCCCATGCTGGGGTACAAGACAGGGGCTATGAGACACACCAGACCAGGGCCAGAGGTGTCTCCTGCAGGCAGGCTTCAGGCTGGCTTGCTCTGTGAGACACCTGTGTGCTTACTGTGCGTAGCAGACATTTGTGGGCTCATACAGGTGTGCATACGTACTCAGGACTACACAACCACACAGAGGAAAGGAGACAGTTCCTCTGGTGTCAAGGTGGAGTGAGAAGCTCTCAAACCTAAGGACAAAGTTAAGGACAGACAGACCTACATTACTAGACACTGCAATAGAAATCCTTCCACCTATGGAGAATCTATGGACAGGAAAAGGGACAGAACTTCAGGCTGGGTTGATAATGGAGAAGACAGACATCTTCACCAACCATAGCTACACAGAGTGGCAACAGAGGGCTTGGTGGAAGGTGTATAGGCCAATGATGGAAATAGTGCATTAGGCAGAACCAGGATGGGTGCCAAGAACTGCCCAGGGCAGGCAGAATCTAAGCCTCTGGGGAGATGAATCCAGGGCAGGAATGCAGAAAGGTCTAAGAATGTTGATGCAGAGGTGTTGAGACCATAGCTGTCCCAGGGGTCAGAGCTGGGAGCTGTCACACTCTGTGTTTGTCTTCTGTGTTCTGGAGAGCCTCACCTCTCCTCACGCATCAGATTCAGAGCATTCCCAAGCCGAGGGTCTTACTCAACACCTGATAGAGGTTGCAAGCCCACCCTAGATGGACTCTCACATATGCAAAACATTCAGAAGCTGTTTGGTAGACTCATAGATCACTAAAGCCACCCAGAGGTTCCCCTGGAAGTCACCT